ATTGCTGGGAGCTGAAGTCTAAAAACACCATCTGGAGGCCCAAGGTTGGGGACCACTGGTATAGACCAAAGTGGCAGGAGCCCAGCTTAAAAGAAGAGAGGAGCAAGGCAGGGGGGTGGAGAGACACTTTGCTTTCAACAGAGTTGGAGAGAGAGGAGTGGGGCATGGGAGTAGCTGAGAAGCTGGATCCCATATTTTGCACCATAGGGGAACAGTACCTGCTGATGGTGGACCAGGGAGTGGATCCGTGTACAGCTTACAAGGGTGTGAGGGAAGCATGCTTCTCTTCAACCCTCCACCACCCACAACCTCCTGGAGACACTGGACACTGGCCAAGTTCCCAGGCCCCATGTTGACCCAGGGAAGACACTGGAGGATGAAGCACCAAAATGAGTGCTTCTGGTGGAGGCAAGAAGGAGCTGGGAAACACAGGAGCCTTTAAATACCCAACAATACAGACGTTCCTTGAAGGGTGTCAGCTGGCTTGAGTCAATGTGAAAGAATAGACCCCAGCCACATGTACACACACATACACACACATGCGATTCAATTTACCAATATTGTGAAGAGAGCTTAAGAAGAGAGCCAATATTCAAAATATTGGCAAATCAATCACTTTCTCAGCTACCTGGAAGAGGGCTAAAGAAGTATGTGTATGGGAATTAAGTGTGCATTAGGACAATGAATATGTGCTGTATCACTTTATACCCTAAAAGACTAAAAGGTAAAGGTAAAGGTTCCCCTTGACAATTTTTGTCCAGTCGTGTTCGCCTCTAGGGAGCGGTGCTCATCCCCGTTTCCAAGCCATAGAGCCAGTGTTTAGTCGGAAGACAATCTTCCGTGGTCACATGGCCAGTGCGACTTAGACACGGAACGCTGTTACCTTCCCACCGAGGTGGTCCATATTTATCTACTCGTATTAGCATGCTTTCGAACCGCTAGGTTGGCGGGAGCTGGGACAAGCAACGGGAGCTCACTCCGTTGCGTGGATTCGATCTTACGACTGCTTGGTCTTCTGACCCTGCAGCACAGGCTTCTGCAGTTTAGCCCGCAGCGCCACCACCCTAAAAGACTAATGGAAAACAAATGTGTATTGGGGCAGCAAAGCACATCCTGCAGTCAATTTGCCTGCTGTCAAAATACATGTTTGCTTTCCTAATTCACATTTATTTTTCACTAGTCTTTTAGGTTTTTTAAGTGATGCAGCACAACACTTTTTTTAAAAAAAAAACTACTTTAAAAAAACCACTTCCTCAGCTCCTCCACAGGGCTGAGGAAGTGATTAATTTGCCAATGGCTCTCTTCTTAAGGCATTTCACAATACTGGCAAAGTAGAGGAAGATTTGCTTTGGGTCCATTTCCAGTGATCACACATGCTGGAAACAGACTGAATCAGAGTGATCTTACCTGCACCTAAAAAACAGAATCCCCTGACAGGGGCCAGAAAGATGTGGGTATGGACATGATTTTGGTTTGCCACAGTGATTATGTTGTGTGATTGCCGTCAAAAATATTGAACCAACCTGTTCCTGCAGCAGTCCAAACAGCAGGTTAAATGCCTGTCTGCTCACACCCTAAGTTGGAAATGTTAGGAGCCATGGTTGCCTCTTTTATATCTTGACAACAGAGAGAGGAAAGGCAGGAGGGAGAGGGAAGAAAGTGACACCAGCAACCCTAAGAGCAGCAATGTAAGGTCAAAGAAATGTCAGGACTCAGGACAGGTCAAAGCAGCTAAAGGCCAGTTTATGGAACCTGAAGAGGTCATCTGTCTCTACTCTTCTCCTTGGGAAGCTGAGTTGCACTCAGTCGATTCCAACAGCTCCATGCCAGCAGGCATTCACTCTGCCCTGACTGAGAACATTCTTTACTGATATCCTGCTTCTATGGATTGTGTTATTTTACTTGATGGCGACTTACTATCTCAGAATGTGAACCTGTGTGTGTGTACACATGCGTGCATTTGTATGCACTGGCTTAGGTGTGGGTGCGGATGTATTGTTTGGGTGTTCCCTTCATTAATTATGTGATGATTTGGGCCAGTCTTTAAAAATATTACAAGCTGGCCCGTTCCTTAAAGAATGGAAAGACGTCTACAAAACCTTTTAAATAAGAGAATTTACATTCATTAATGTTTCAACCCTCTGAATTTCCATGGGGCATGACTGAATAGAACAGATCTTTCACCCAACACTTGAGGAGCTGACAAAAATGTGCTGGAATAAATATATTTAATGAGGAATCTGAAGGATGGCCAAGATAGTCCACCTACACTGAGTTATGTAAACAGATTTTAATGTAGTAGTGTGATGACTGGTGATGACTGCTCACTGGAAGGGCAGATCCTGAAGCTCAGGCTCCAATGCTTTGGCCATCTCATGAGAAGAGACGACTCCCTGGAAAATACTCTGATGCTGGGAAAGTGTAAGGGCAAGAGGAGAATGGGACGACAGAGGATGAGATGGTTGGACAGTGTCACCGAAGCAACCAACATGAATTTGATCCAACTCCGGGAGGCAGTGGAAGACAGGAGGGCCTGGGGTGCTCTGATCCATGGGGTCACGAAGAGTCGGACACGACTTAACAATTAAACAACAAAGTGTGATGAAGTCTCTAAACTGTATTAGGCTGAGCTAGTCTATCATAATTGAGACAGCAGAAAACCTAGTTGCCACTGGCTGAACCATCCAGACCCCCTCAGATAAAGAGGGAGAGAGTAAACAGAAGGGATCAGAGCAGTGGTTCCCAGCCTTGGATCCCCAGATGTTCTTGGACTGCAATTCCCAGAAATTGTGACCAGCACAGTTAGTAGTGAAGGCTTCTGGGAGTTTTTTGTCCAAGAACACATGGGGACACAAGGTTGGTAACCACTGAGTTAGAGCACCAGTACAAATAGGAGATTGCCAATGTCGTTTGCCACCGAGCTCAGTTTCTTCCTAAAGGGTCTAATGAGTGTCTCCCTGAAGGCAAAGGAAACCCTGTCCTCCTGGAGAGACCCATTTATTATAAGAGTGGTCCATACAGTTGTTAGGGGCCTGGCCGCTTTGATTAGCCAAGCTGGGCAAGGGTCAAGGGAGGAGGTGGTGGCATCCTTCTGCGGTCAAGCACCTTGTCAACTTCAAGTGATGTTACCAGTTGAAAGTGGGTGATCTTCAATGGACAAGACAGCGCGCTGGATGTCTCTGCTCACTGGTTTCAAGTAAGGGGATCGATCCCAGTGGATGACCTCCACTTTAGATTTTTTAAAAGCTGCAAATTTGTCAGGTGAAATACTAGGGGGAGGCCAATCACTGTGACCAATCACTGTGACCAATTCGCAGCCTTTAGCGTACCATTTGGAATAATTCTGCCTGCTTTTTGGAAGCTTCATTTATCCGGACAGCAAAGTAAGCTCTCTTTGCAGCCTTTACCTTAGAATAAGATCTTGTCATGGAGGTGCTGGCTTTGCACATGCACAAGAATCCCAGCAGGGACTCATTAATTGCCAGCTGGAAGACACAACAAAGCAACAGGATTTCAGCCACTGAGTTAATATTTTGTGACTTATTTCATCACTGTTAAAATGTGACTTAATTGCACCTCCATTGACCAAAGAGTAAGTAGTGCATATTAATTACATTACTCGTAACTAGTTACTTCCATACTCTGCATTTTAATCATAAATGTTCCAAAGAGCAGCAAGTAATGGCTTAATAAACTGTCCGGGTGTGGGATGAGCTTTGAATTTCATTGTGTTTTCTGGTGCCTTGCTTCCTGTGCTGTTGCAATACCCACCTTATCTTTGGAGAAGCTGAAGAGCAGTTTACGCTCCATAATGAACTGGACGGCAGTTACAGCATCCGAATGGCCCTCCAGGACACCAGCAGGTTTAGAAGTGACATATGGGTTCCAAAGGCAAACATGTCGATTAATCCCTGCAGTTGCTGTTCAAAGCCACAAATACATCCTTTATTTCAACAACAACAACAACAACAACAACAAAAACAACAACAACACAGTTGTACTTTCCCAAAAGGAACTAATGAAAGTACCACAGTTGCAACAATCGTTTTTAAAAAAGGGAAGTGGGGAAAAAAAGAGGATGGATTCCATTCTATGTTTTCATCATGTAGAGGCTTTATATTTCTTTTTCTCTCTCTTCCTCTCTGTTTCCTCCCCTGTTTATTTCCTTCACAAAATATTTAGTCTATTTTTTTTTCATTTACAGCCAGCATGATCCAGAGAAAGAAACAGCCTGCACCTAGAATATACTCTGCACTGTCCCTCAGATTCAATCCCCAATCTGTAAAAAGAGGATGGGGAAAATAACCTCTTTCACAGGGTTGAAGAAATGCAAATAGAGTGCCTGCAATTTAAAGAGCTTTGATGAATGGGGCGGGGGAGGAGGAATTTCCATCTCAGTTTTCCATCTATAAAGTACAGTACATCCAAGGGGACTGACACATGTATAAATGCAAAGCACAATGAAACACAGCTAGAAATGGGTATGAACTGAACAACAAACCAGAGAAAAGAAACAGCCTGCACCTAGAATATACTCTGCACTGTCCCTCAGATTCAATCCCCAATCTGTAAAAAGAGGATGGGGAAAATAACCTCTTTCACAGGGTTGAAGAAATGCAAATAGAGTGCCTGCAATTTAAAGAGCTTTGATGAATGGGGCGGGGGAGGAGGAATTTCCATCTCAGTTTTCCATCTATAAAGTACAGTACATCCAAGGGGATGGACAAATGTATAAATACAAAGCACAATGAAACATAGCTAGAGATGGGTATGAACTGAACAACAAACCAGAGAAACTATCAAACTGGGCTAGTTTGGGGTTCTGTTTGCAACCCTGTTTGGGAATACTGTTTCAACTAAATAAAGCCCCATACTTTTTTCTGCCCCTGGCATTTTGTTTTTCCTTTAGCAAAACATGTCCGACTGATTGATTCCTTCCCACTGTGAGCTGGTTCTGCCGCCTCTGCCACTGTTCCCACCATCACCAGAGATAGTGAGATGGGTTCCCTTCCAGGAGCCAGGCCAGTGGCCTCTGTGCACGCATCCACAGCCCAGTTGATCGGGGTGCATGTGCAGACATGGGCACATGTGCAGAAGGCAGTAACTGGGCCCCAGTTGCTGCTTTCTGCATATGCACTTGCCTCCCAGCTGATCAGGGCGAGGAGCTGCATGGCAGCGACATAACAGAAGCAGGTAGCTTCCCCATTGAGCATGAACCAAAAAAACGAACCACGAACCAGTTCGGTTTTCTGATTGATTTGTGCCGATCTGTGGCCAACTACAAACCATCATTTCTCAGGTTTGTGCCCATCTCTAAACATAACCTAAGCACAGAAGCATCAAGTCATAGGTAGACTTTCAGTGTTGGAAGAGACCCACGGTTACTCAGGACCATATTCTAATGTTTTCAACAGGTCTCACTTCCCAGCAACTGTATTTAGGACTGCATTCTAACATAACAGTATTGACAGAGGCATACACTTAAAACAAACAAAACAAAGGATAACAGGCAAGGAGGAAGCAAAGTCTGTGCCCTGAGGAGACAGCTCCAGATCATGATCATTATTAAAAGCCTTTTCTCAGGCCCCTACCCAGTGTATCTGCTTCAGATAAAGGCTTTTTTCTCCAGACATATATGTACTCCTGATATTGAGGTACAGGAAAAAAATGCTATTATTTATGCATCTAAAATGGTACAATCTATGCACAAGTGGAATATTGGGCACCCAATATTTAAATAAATGGGGGGGGACTTGGATGGGGAACCCTCCAAATGGCCCCCAAAGGACCCAGTGTACTAAGTGGCCATAGAATGCAAGCTATTTGTTGAAGGAAACAGAAAATTAGATGGGAAGGGAAATGGAATGGAATACTTTTCAGGAGAGCACAAATGACTTGCAGGCTCCACACACATCTGTGTATCACTATTGCTGTTGTTGCTTGCTATGTGCTGTTAAATCCTTTCTGGCTTACAGGCTACCTTATAAATTAGTGGCCTCCAATTAGTTGGACTCGCTATTGGAACTATATTTATGTCACAGCAGTCCTCCTCTCTCATCAATCTTCACAGCAATCCTGTACTTCAGGACAGGCTGAGACAGGATGACTGGAATGAGGTCAATTAGTGAATTTCAGGATCCCATTTCAACCCAAACCTGGACCTCTGAATTCCCAATTTGATCATTTAACCACTAACTACATCACACTGGCTTTAAGTGGCAAATACTGTGTACAGTTCTGATCACCACCCCAGGAAAAAAGTATATTGTAGAGCAAAATGATCCAAGAGATGAAACTACTCCTTGTCGAGCTTGACAAGAAAAATTGAGTAACAGGGAGACATGATAGTGAAGTATGGAATTATGAATAAGGTGCAGCAACTGAATAGAGAGAAAACGTTCTTCTCCCATCACACTGGAGCCCAGGATTATCCACTGAGGCTGAATGATGGGAGATCTTAGATAGATAAAAGAAAGTTCATCTTCACATACCACTGGCAATGGTGCGGCTAAAAAATATTGTAAATAAATAAATAAATAAATAAATATAGTTATACTGTGGTATTCACTACCTCTAAATGTGATGGCTTTAAGAGGAGATCCTCATGGAGGATGAGGCTATTAATGGTTACTGCTAGTTATTACAGCTACTGTATGTACTCCCTCCACTACCAACAGCATCATTATATACAAATGGTGAAGAACATTCCTGCCCTGTTTATAGACTTCCTCCAGGATATGCATTTACCACTATGTGAGTAGAATGTTGGACTAGGTAAGCGGTTATTCTGATCTGGCATTCCTATTATTATACTCTTACTTTGCCTAATATATGTACAGTAATATGACAGCTGGGAAAGGACCATCAATGAGCCACTACTTCTAAGAGTGTATTTACACCCCAGATGGTTTGATCACCATTCCTTCTCTTCAGGAAACTACAGATGTAGCAGATAAGTTTCTTATCTCTGATTTTTTTAAAAAATCCACATTTGCATCAAATTCCCAAGATGTCTATCACTCAGATCTGTATATATTGAAGTATTAGGGCACATACCAAACCTTCTGACTTCATTGTTGAATTTTGTAACTAGGACAAAGAAGCAAAGTTTTGATGTTTCAGTATGTGGAGGATGATATTGTGTGAATTGGTCAAAAGAAATTACTTTAGCCTCTCTTGTGTTCTTTTTCCTTCTAGCTTTCTGCCATCCATTCTTAGACAAGCCCCCAGGGATATTTTAGACTTTGTAACATCCTCTCACATGTGTGGCAATCATTCTTTATTGTCTTTCCTGTCTGCCCAACTTATCTGGAAGGCCTGGGGTATGTTCTGTTTCACCTCCTGCTCTACCTCCATTAAGAATTGAATCCTGTCTATATGTTTTTAAGAATTTTTCAGCACAAAACCTGTACTCCTTCTATCAGCAATTATTCTTCTTGATATAGTCTTCATTTGCCTCAGACTTAGAGGAAGCACAGTCCTCTGAGAAGCAAGAATCTACACCACAAGCCTAAACTGACAGAACTATTACAGCTTCTCCCCGGAAACCCTGTGAAGTGCTATTTTATGGAATGCTCGAGAAGGGAAAATTCTCAGAGCCCTCACAAAACTGAGACTCGTAGAAGTCCTTGAGGAAACCAGTGTTGGTTATATTCATCTCAAATCAGTTCACATTTGCCATACAGAGGTCCCCTGATATATAGGCCTAAGTGTTTCTAAGATACAGCTACCACTAAGTAAATGGCATGTTTTACAATACTGCGACGATTTACAGCACCTTACTGTAAGGAATGCAGCCCAGAATATGACTCCTTCGTTTTACCACCCTTCCTTTCACATGATAACCATGACTCCTGCATCACCATCTGGACAATCAGGAGGCTAGCCCACTCCCCCCACCTCCATGATGATTACCAACAAAGCAGACCTTCAAAAGTTGCTTTTTAGAAAGAATTTGTTCCCATTACTCATTGCTGGTTTCTTTAATACAATTTGTTGGTATTACTGATGACAATTTTAAGAAAGTAATTTCTTAAAATAGTTTCTTCCACTGCTTGTTACTTTTTGCTATTTTCCCCCTCCTCATGCGGGAAATCACAGGGTTGATAAGAAAATGGCATCAAATACAGAACATTCCATCCAGGATGTCTTAATATGCCTTAGGAACAGAAAGTGGAACACATTGGTTGTCCTACCAAGAAGATATGATGAGATTCTTCCCACTTGTTTCATTACTTCTAAATTGTAATGTTACTACAACTTCGTTACAGTGGACCCTCTACTTACGGAATTAATCTGTATTGGAATGGTGGCTGCAGGTCGAAAAATCCGTAGGTCGTCCCCATTGACCTACAATGCATTGAAAACCGATTAAGCAGTAACCGGCTGTTTTTGTTCCGTTTTTGTTCCATTTTGGGTTTTTTCTGGTCTGTAAGTCAATTCTCTGGCTGCAAGTTGAATCTAAATTTTGCGGCCAGAGAAGTCTGTAACTCGAAAAGTCTGTGAGTCGAGCCGTCTGTAAGTCAAGGGTCCACTGTATTCACAAAGGCTTTCACGGCCGGTATCTAATGGTTGTTGTGGGTTTTTCAGGCTCTTTGGACTTCAGAACATGGCCAAAGAGCCCGAAAAACCCACAACAACCATTACTACAACTTCATTACCCATTGTTGTGGAGTGTAACTAATTACACGTAACAGTGTTACTTGTAACCTGTTACTTCAGATTTTACAACAGGAGAAATTTAATCAGGATTAACAGCTTTCTCAAGCCAATACTCCCACTCCCACACCATTTCTCAGTTCTTAGAAATTTCTAAGCAACTTCACAAAAATGGCAGTTTTTGTGAAATTTTTCAACATTCTCTCAAGGAGAGGAATATGGCTACTGGGCTAGTATGAGTCTTCAGTGCAGAACTCTCCATAGACTCTTAACTCTATGTGGAGAGAATTTATAATAAAAGAGAAATTACAAGTTAACGTACCTATCAAGTTGAGCCTGGAATGGAAGTCAAACGCATTGATTCCTTGGGTGATGTGGAAACATGTCACTGTAAGATGAAGACTTAATTTTTCTCTCCAAGCTAACACCAGTGTGTTTGTACTACCGCTCGTAACAGAGATAAAAGCATCTAATGAGGAGATGTATGCAACTGAAAAGGAAAAAAAAGGAGAATTTGAATTATATTCATCATCAAATAATAATTAATAAATATAATTGTGTTAACTGGGGTAGATGAGTTGCTGTTTTGTTGTTAATGCTGGGTGTTCAATGTTAGATTTGGAATGATCAGATTTTTGTTTTAATCCGTGTCATTTTTGCATGTGACCATTCATTGCATCGGTGTGATTCATCCCAGTTCCTTTTGTTATGGTGTTTATTAAGAAGTCAGCACAGAAATGGTGTATAAGTACATGTTTAAATATGGAGATGAATTTTTGCACCAATTTTCTCACAGAATACGGACTTACAAATGTGTTTTATCTAAACATTTGTTTCTCTCTGTGTATTTTACCTGGAAACTTTTTTTCATATATAATTTAGCATGTGTTTTTTTTATCCTAAGAATTTCATTGCGAAATGTTGAGATTACCAAATATGTATAAAATATTTATGCATGTTTAAGTTACAGACCACACATTACCTTAGGTGGTATGGAGCAGGTCACATCCCACTGGAAAACAAAAAGATTGAACTTTGCAAGCATTCCTTATTTAATACACACCCAATCTTAGGTAGGGTGGTAGAAGACAGGTAAGTATATTGATGTTTGCAGTATAAAAGCAACTAGGCCCATGCTACATGCTGCAGATACAATCTGATTTGAAAGGAAGTATTCAACATCCAGACAAAAAATGCTGGCGTTTTGACGTCTTGGCTGAAATTCTGTAGAATTTTATTTAAAAAAAAAAATCAGACTGGAACACAATTCTTGCCCATCCCTCACTGCCTCAGAACTCTGTGTGAAGAATAAGATGTCAGGTTAATGGGAGGACAGGCTCAAAGAAGGAGGGGAAAAGATTGCTCTTTTTCCTTTTAACTTAATGAAACGTACTATTGTTAACTCTTTTTCTGGTCAGAAAAAAAATAAGAAGCTGCTTTAACTCATTATTTTATTAGTCTTCTGCCCTCATTTCCGATAGTGGTGGGAGAATAAGGAGGTCTAAGTATTTGAAGATTTGGCATGGGTCCCATTCAAAAACATTAACATAAATGACTGAGGAGAGGTTGCCTCCTAGCAGGTAAAGAAACAAAATGAGGATGGTATTTTGGGAGGGGTTTTGTTTCTTTATTTTTCTTTTAAATAATCTTCTCAGCTCTGCCCATCCCTAATGGGGAATTTGGGTGTTTGTGGAAGACAGAGAGAGAGAGAGAGAGAGAGAGAGAGAGAGAGAGAGGTGTGAAAGATTAAAGACAGATTTGAATGAAATGGACTGTGAATAAAAGAGATATGTCTGTTTTAGCTGGAATCAGCAGACTGTTTTGTGTGGGACTTAGTATTAGTGACCAAGAAGCTTTGAAACTCCAACATTTCTCTGGACAGTTGAAAACACAAGGCTGAGGAAACACGACAATCGGCTGTATTGTAATTGCAGCTATGGAATGGTTTTAAATATATATGATTTGCAAAACAAGGTTTAATCAACCTCTAGTCTGATTAGGGATGACAGGAGATTAAGCATAAGCAGCAGCTCCTCAGTGCCATTTGTGATGAAATTATGCAACTTCTGTGCAACATTTAAAATGATTGTGTGATATTTGCGCAAGCTGATGAGCAATTATATTCTCCTAAAGTCAGCATCATTTCCCCTGAGGAGTCTATTTAAAAGACTTATAAAGAGTGGTGGTATCAAACGGGTGTGAAACTAAAAGGGAGGGAGGGAGAGCTTCGTCGAATTCAGAAGGAAGATATATACACAGAATAAGCTCTCACGAATATTCTCTAAGGCAGTGGTAGACAAAAAAAAAATAACCTATGGGAAGCAATTTTGCTACGATGGTCACACCCAAGAAATACTGGCATCTTCCCATATCCCCAATTTTTTTGGTATTTTTTTTTTTAAATTGGCCACTAAAAGGCATTGAGGGCTTTAGTTGTCATTGCTGCCATTGTTTTAGATAATAATTAATAGCTGTGTGCCATCAAGTCAATTCTGACTTATGGCGACCCTTTCCAGGGTTTTCTAGGTAGGGAATACAGAGAAGTGGTTCCCCAACACTTTTACCCCACTCCTCAGTTCTCAGTCGTTTGACATCATGAGGACCTCCATCTTGAAATCTGGGGTGCTATCAAATTGTTGGCTATCCTACCAAGAATACATTTTTCAAGGTCAAACCCCAACATTGTTTTCTTTGGAAATCAGATACATATGTTTGGACATCTGTGTGGTCTGTGTGTTGATATGTGACTTCTTTATACAGTGATGCCCTGCTAGACAATTACCTCGCAAAATGGTTTATTCGCTAGATGATGGGTTTTGCGATCGCTATAGCACTTCGCAAAATGGTGTTTCCTATGAGCAATTTTCGCTGGACGATGCTTCGCAAGATGGTTTTTTCGGGACGGTTTTTTACAAGACGACAATTTTGACAGCTGATCTGCGCTTCGCAAAATGGGTGTTTTCGGGACTATTTTTCCAAGGCAGCTATTTTGACAGCTGTTCCGCACTTCGCAAAACAATTTTCCTATGGGCGATTTTCGCAAAACAACGACGATTTTTCCCCATTGGAACGCTTTAAATGGATTTCGGTGCATTCCAATAGGGAATCGCATTTCGCAAGATGATGTTTTTGCAAAACAGTGATTTTCAGGGAACAAATTAACATTGTCTTGTGGAGCACCACTGTATATGGTATGTGAAAACATTTTATAGATGAGCTCAGGGGAAAACAATTGGACTATGACACCCAGAATCCCCCTGCCAGCATGCTAGCTGGGAATTCTGGGAGTTGTAATCCAAAGCAGTAGCTTTTCCAAGCTCTGTTGTATGGGCGCATCTTTGAAATGCAAGTCATGAAACTGGCCTAATCTGCAAGAATTGCAAAGTACAAAATTAGCTCTTATTCTTCTGCAAATGCATGATAACACTTACAATAAGCATAATTTGTATCCAAAAGTGTAATTATCTGTAAAATAGGCCTATTATATGCTGCCATAATTTTTTGTTTCTTTGCAGTCCCCACCAAGAAAGAAAGGACTTCTTTCTTTCCCTTTTCATTTAATTTTTTTAACTGCAACGCACATACCCCAAACCTCGTAGCCTATTTCGTGACTCGCCTTTCTAGCCTCTAGAGACTTTTATGAGACTAAAACTTTATGTGTGTTAGGAGCCAAATAACCTTCACGTTTTGCAACAAAGACATCAACTTCTTTCTGACTAAATAGCTCCTTAGAGAATGCCCAACTGGTAAAACAAAATGATGTGAGAGTCATTTCCACAGCAAAAAATGTGTACAGTAAATTGAAATATTCAGTCACATGAAGCAAAGAAGAAAGGAAGTAGAGACAGAGACAAATAAAGGCCTGCTCCCTGTATAACAGAATCATGGAACAGGGAGGGGTCTTGCAGGCATCCAGTCCAGCCTTGCAGGAAATTCAGGTCCAGAGCTCCCCTCACCCCACCCCATGACTATCCACACACACTATGTTTGTGGAAAAGGCTACCAAACATATTGTGGTTAACATTGTTACTATTATTATTATCAATGGTACTGTTGTTTTATGATTTCGTCCATTATTGTCCTCATGGAAGCTCGGGGCAGCTAACAGTTCAGATTAAAAATACAGTTAAAATCACAAAATATAAATACTGATACCACTGATTATATGCACATAGAATATCTAAATACAGTTGTGCCCCGCATAGCGACGTTAATCCGTTCCAGGATTAACGTCGCTATCCAGATTCGTCGCTATGTGGGGGGGAAACCCATAGGAACGCATTAAACGGAGTTTAATGCGTTCCTATTGGGGAAAAACTCACCGCTAAGCGGGAATCCTCCATAGGGCCACCATTTTCGCCACCTCGGTAAGCAAGGAATTGGCGCAGAAATGCTGTGGGTGGCCATTTTGTTGATCCAGTGGCCATTTTGGAACCGCTGATCAGCTGTTTTCTAAACATCGCGATGTGAAGATTGGTAAGCGAAACGCTTACTGATCATTGGAATGCGATCTTTTGCCACCTAAAACATTGCAATGTGATCGCATTAGCGATAGCAAAAAACGCATCGCTATGCGGATTTGTTGTTAAATGGTGTGCTCGTTAAGCGAGGCACCACTGTATATAAATATCTAAAACTACAGGTTGCAACCAGAGATCAGTCATAACTTGGGGGACCACTATAAACTTGTAAGACATTCTTCACATACACCCCTATATTTTAATCACTCATATTCTCAGGCATGGTTTTCAATTTATTGTCAATTTTTTTTTCTCATCATAGGTAAAAAAAAATGTGTTGCATAGTTTCTACCACACCTAGCGAGGAGGAGCAAAGCCTTTCTGCACAAGGCACATTTCTATGTTTCCCTTTGAGGACGGCAGATGGAAGGGCAGAGCATCTTGCTAGTGTGAAAGCTCTTCTAAATCCTCTCACTTCTAAGAGTGATAGATAGTCTGCCATGGGTTCCATGGCGTTCTTAATGTAGGCCCTTAGCAGCAGATTCTGTACACTACAAAGTCAGCTTGCTTTTCTATATCCTCAATTCTTCGCTTGACTAATTTCCTTGCCACATTTATTTGGTACGACAGCAGCACTTGTGGAGATAGACCGATTTTCATCAAGCGGCTCTGGACCTCCTTTACGCAGTTGGATTGGAAATTATCATAGAAAATCAAAGGCAGAAGGCCAGATGTTCTTAGACTACAGCTCCCAGAAGCCTTCACCACCACCTCTACTGGCCAGGATTTCTGGGACTTGAAGTCCAAGAACATCTGGAGGGCCAAGGTTGGACACCACTGCCCTAGAGCCTGCGGCTTGTAGAATTACCCCTAAGTATTTGAAGTTATTAAGTTGCTCAATAGGGTAACCCTTAATTAACCAAACCCTTGTCTTTGGTTTGCAATGGAGCATCAAATATTGGCCATGCCTAGGTCTGCCTTTTTTCACCTGCAGCAGATTGCTCAGTTGCACCCCTTCCTGGACAGGAGG